AGCTACCGTCAACGTCACTAAAGAAACTGCAGCACCCCAATTCGTTGAAGGTTTGAAGTCAGTACATATCAAGGAGAAGGAAACTCTTAACCTATCCGTAACTGTCACCGGTTCACCACAACCGACGATTGCTTGGTTCAAGGACGAGGTACCCATTGTAGTCGATAACGTTCACATTGTGGCCAAAGAGGAGGATGGTGGTCGGTGGACCCTCACCATCAAAGATTTGTGCGTTGCTGACGCTGGAACGTATTCATGCATGGCAACCAATTCCAGTGGAGAAGTTCGTACCGATGCAAAAGTTGATGTCGAAGTTATAAAGGTGTTAGAATGTAAGTTTTACAATTGGTTCTATGTTAGTAATAGTCAACACATGCTATTTCATTCTCTAAGCTTGTTTCGATTTTTGTCCATTAATCGCACTACCTCGCACTACTTACTGCAGATCAACTAATCTTTCTATACCCTTTCTCCTGCATTCGTGAATGAAGATTGCTTCTTTTTCTCGCTGTCCTTTTCACACTCTTCCTTGGGTGGGAGAGGGACATCCTGAACTTCACTTTTTGAATGTTTGTGTTTTCAACTAACTGATTTACAGCACTCGCACCCACCTTCACAAAATCGCTTGTGGACCAATCAATATCGATCGGCGACCAACTGATTCTATTCTGCTCTGTGAAAGGTGCTCCCCAACCAGTGGTGGAATTTTACCGTGAGGGCGTGAGAATCAAATCCTCAACAAGAATAGCAATCGAGCACGACAAAACAAATACTCATTGGAGAGTGCTTATCAAGGAATCCTCTCAGGAAGACTTGGGAAAATACCGTGCGCTGGCAAAGAATACCGTTGGAACCGCATTCTCTGAGGCTACCGTATCGAAGAAAACCGATATGCCTGTAATCGAGCAAGGTTTGAAGCGTACATCGGTTACGGAGAAGGAGGAGATCCGCATGGAGGTCAAGATTAGCGGAACACAACCTGAAGTGACATGGTTCAAAGATGACCAACCTATCCAACAGGATATGGTTCATGAAATTCTGCAGGAGGCATCAACTGGTGTCTATTCCTTAGTAGTCAAAGAATCTACGATTGCCGATGCTGGAAGATACACAGTGAAAGCTACGAACATAGCAGGAAGTGTTGAGAGCTCTGCAGAAGTTGAGGTGACTCGAGCTTTCGAAAAACCATCATTTGTAAAGGAACTTGTGTCGACTGAAGTGAAGGTTAACGAAACGGCTACATTAACCGTAACAGTGAAAGGTATTCCTACTCCAGAAATCACATGGAAGAAGGATGGACAGCCTGTCAATATTGACAATACACGTATCATTTCAAAGAGAGAGTCCGATGAAACATATTCCATCACAATATCTTCTTCAACTATTGAAGACGCTGGCAAATACACCTGCGAGGCCACAAACGTAGCTGGTACTGCCGAATGTTCTGCCAAGTTTGCAGTAATCAAGGATGTTGAAGCACCGCAGTTCACCGAGAAGTTACATCCTTTGGAGGTAAAAGAAAGCGAAAGTGCCACTCTTTCCGTTACTATAACTGGCACTCCTCAACCTGAAGTGCAATGGTTCAAAGACGATCGCCCAATACAAATTGATAATGTTCACCTAATTGCCAAAGAGGAAGGAAGCGGTCACTACGTGCTCACCATCAAAGAGGCAAGAACTTCTGATCAAGGTACCTACTCCTGCAAGGCAGTAAACGAGGCTGGCGAAGCTCAGACCGACGCCACAGTTCACGTTGCTAAAGAAGCCGTAGCTCCTCAATTTGTTGAAATCCTACGACCAATGGAAGTAAAGGAGACTGAAGTGATCAACCTAGCCGTCACTGTTACTGGATCTCCTGCTCCCAAAGTTACATGGTTCAAAGATGATGCTCCTATCCAAATAGACAACGTCCATGTTTTCTCTAAAGACGATGGTTCTGGACATTTCACGTTGACAATCAAAGACTCCCAAGTAGCTGATATTGGAAGTTATTCCTGCAAAGCAACAAATGAAGCTGGAGAAGCTCGAACAGAAGCAACGGTACACGTAGCCAAGGAATCAACTGCACCACAGTTTACGGAGACATTGAAACCACTTGAGGTGAAGGAAACCGAAATGCTCAAGCTGTCAGTCACTGTTACTGGAGCACCACAGCCCACAGTGGCGTGGTTCAAAGACGATGTTCCCATTGAAATCGACAACGTTCACGTCCTGTCTCAAGACGAAGGTCACGGTCACTTCACTTTGACTATAAGGGATGCTCGTGTATCAGATGTTGGCAGTTACTCTTGCAAAGCTACCAACGAAGCTGGTGAAGCCCGAACAGAAGCTAAAATGGCCGTTGCTGAAGAATTGGTGTTACCGCGTTTCACCGAAGGACTGAAAGCAGTTGAAGTAGACAAAGGTAAACCAGCGGAATTGACCTGCACTGTAATCGGGAAACCGGAACCAGAGGTAACCTGGCTGAAGGATGGCGTCCCAATTCAAATCGATGAGGTGCATGTTATGAGAAAAGATTCTGAAGGACAACATACATTGATCATCAAAGATCTCAAAGAGGAGGATACCGGTTCCTATACCTGTGAGGCCGTCAATAAGGTCGGCAAAGATGTGACGATAGGCGAAGTGAAGATACCCAAGTACGGATTTGAGAGGATCGGAAGCGAAGAAGTTCAACCATTATTCATCGAACCGCTTAAGGAGACTGTCGCCTCACAAGGAGAGACAGTTGTGCTCGAATGCCGTGTGAACAAGGAATCGCAACCAGAAATTCGCTGGTTCAAAGACGACAAACCAATTGAACTAAGCCAACATATGGTGATGGAAACACTCGACGACGGCAAAATCAAACTGACAATTCACAATGCAACCAAGCAAGATGTCGGCTCGTATCGTTGCGAAGCAATTAACAAAGTTGGCAAAGCCGAAACACACGCCAATCTCCAGTATGCAACGAGTGTGCAGGAGACGGTCGCCGACGAGAGTGAGCAGCTGCACGAAATGGTTGCGGAGACGCTCACCACCGGTGATTTCTTTTTCACTTTTTCCCCCACTGCACAAAGCACGTTTTCCATCCTTCTGAACTAGCATACTGAACCAAATCCGTAACATTTTGTCTAGACCACCAGTACCATGAATGTATAAATGTTCTATTTGCAGCAGCTGTAGAAACAAAGGTCGGTAGAGGCCCACCGGAGTTTGTAGAATTATTGCGATCATGTACTGTCGCCGAGAAACAGCAAGCTGTACTCCGCTGCAAAGTAAAAGGAGAACCACGGCCAAAGATCAAGTGGACCAAGGAAGGCAAAGAGGTTTGTAAGAATTAGGTCTACCAAGGTGCATGGCACCAGATTGCTGAAAAAAATCAAATTTAGGTGGAAATGACCGCACGAATCAAATCAGAATTCAAGGACGATGGCACATTAACATTGACGATCGACAATGTGGCCCAGCAAGACGCCGGAGAATACAGGTGACTGCTACCGTCATCAGGTTTCTGTAAGAGAATTTCTTCACTGGACCAAGTAACGGATATCGGTAACATCCACAGGTTTCAGCGCCACTTTTCTATGTTGGCGGCGCCTTACTAAATGAACACACTTCCCGGGTATATTCGTTTTTGGACCCAAGAACCCCTTCTCCGTATAATCGAGGTAATGAGATGGGATTCTGGGAACGAAAGCGAAGCGTGTAGCAGTGTCTTCAAAATTTCAGGGATGCTGTGCAGGCAGCTTCACCAGTGTCTCAGAAATTTTGTGTTAGCTGCACTTTATTTCCTGTTCTCCTGAGCTGCTTAATTCGTGAATGAATACAGTGTGGGCACTGATCGTTCGGCTACGTTCAGAGTCCCCGCTGCCTTACTGCTGACGTGTGCTTTGCGTTGGTCACGCCCGCCCGCGACGGATCAATACCGATAACTTGACCGTGACGGCGTCGGGCGTGTCCAACGCAGACACTGAAAGAAGCCATTGCACGAAATTTACGCCCCAATGAATGAACTGAACAGTGTGATCTCGACAAATCGGCATAATAGACTGCGATAATGAATCATGAGAATTACATGTCTCAAGCTTACTACTTGCAAATTCAAAAATTGACAAAATTCAAATAATTAAAAAACGCGAAAAGAGACTCACCTTATCCTTGGATAGACAAAACGACCTGAGGTATAGATCTTACGGAAAAACAAAGCGAGAACTTAAGGTAGCAGACGTTATGTAGGTAGATTTTATGTTGTATAAATGGCAAGCCGCGTCACCAAGTTCGTGTCAATCTCACACCGCTGGCCCATGTCGTGTTCTAGTCGACATCTGCGTCAGTGGGAGATTTGTGAGAGCCGTATCAGTAAGAAAATATTTCGAAGTCTCGACTTAGGAACAGTGGTCGAGAAAAAACCTATTTCCGAACATTTCAAGAAATAAGCCCTACTGGGGTGGTCTTCGAACTTTGCGCATCACTATGTAGATTTTGAATAAGATTTAGGAGTACAGATTTTAAGCCATCAGCCGTCATGTTTGTGGGTAATTAAGCCTACTGTTTTGGAGTCCCCACTTGATCAGTCCTCCGGAGGTGGGAATTTATTGGTATGGTCAGGTTTGGGCATAATCCAAGGAGGAAAATTGGAAGACCGAGCTTGCGATCCCGTTCTAGCCATATGCAAAGGCTCTATACGGCATAACTAGGGAGAACGAGCCGTTTCTGTTGCTTCTGTGCATTTGTGGAGGGCTTTGCTTTACTATAAACACGTACAATACAAGCACATGAAGAATAGGCATCGATTAGGCGCGCGAATGTCGGCGCCCCTTGACTTAGTGACCGTTTTGGAATGGGACCATAATTTCCCGAATGAAAATGAAGACGGACTTCTAATCTAATGCTGATTCAAGACTACATGGATCAAATTTCAGATGCCATGCTGAAAACGAGCTGGGCTCTGCCTGGACCGAAGGACCCATAATAGTGACACTTGTTGGTGCGCCCGAACAAGAAGGCGAGGCGCCTGACTTCATTTATCCCGTCCGTCCAGTTATTGTAAGTTTACAATTTAGCGCTGTTAATCCTTAACGACTTCAAAGACAGTTTTCTGGAGCAGTTCAGAGCTACATTTTGCGTTCAACTTTACTGATCTGCTTTGTTAAGGTGGTGGAGGGCGAAACCGCTGTGTTGGAAGGTAAGCTCTCTGGATCACCGAAGCCAACCGTGAAATGGTAAGCCACATTTTCACAAGTAGGCTCGTGGTCCGATTGGAAAGTGGGGTTTTCAGGTACAAGAACGGCGAAAATATCAAACCCGATGATCACTTCGTCATCGATTCACTGGACGATGGTACTCAACGGCTAACGGTCAAGGATGCCACCATGAATGATATGGACGAGTACAGATGTGAAGCTTCGAACGAGTACGGAGACGTTTGGAGTGATGTCACACTGACTGTGAAAAGTAAGTTGGTTGACTCAGAATCTGCAGAGCTATCAGGTAGGGTCAAATAGCTCATGCATGCTTCTAACACTTGCCGGGTTCAGAAAAACCTCAAGAAGCACCTTCATTCACAAAGACTCTCGTCGAAGTCGCCGTCGTTGAAGGAGAAACGGCTACATACGAGTGTAAAGTTGCTGGACAACCACAACCTGAAATCAAGTGGTTCAAGGTCAGTGACTGACTAAGGGCTATAGAGTAGGTCGCTCTCGACTGGCCGAGTAGGACTCTGCTGGCTCAGTAGGAATCTAACTTCTGCTTGACCCCTAAATTTCGATCATTTTTCTTATCTACTAGACTATCGCTCAAAAGAGAGATCTCCATGACAGGGTAAAGGCTGGCTGTAGCCAAATGTGGGCCACGTTGCAAAATCTGAAGCCCAGATCTGCAGAGGTAGGAGGGTATTCTGATTACTGATGGTTTCAGGACAAGGAAGAAATTTCTACCACCGATGAGCACTTTGTCCAGACAAGAGAAGCTGACGGCACCGCTCGCCTTGTCATTAAGTCTACTAAGGTGAGGCTTCCCTCTTTTCCTTACTTTTGCTCCGCTGATGGCAGGAATTAGATTTATTTCACGTTCAGGTGAAAGATTCGGGTGAGATCCGTTGTGAAGCCAGTAACCCTGCAGGAATAGCTCGAACAGACGCACCTCTGACGGTTTCACTTCCCGAAGAGGAGGTATACCATCTAAACTTTGACTCCAATACGCATGATGAAAGCAGTTTTTGATATTTGGATGAACTTCCCGTTTTCTAGATAGCCCCAGAGTTTGCTCAAGAGCTTACTTCTTGTCAAGTGCTTGAAGGACAGTTGGCTCAGTTCGAGTGCAAGTTAGTTTTATAGCAACCTTCAGTAGTTTCCTCGAATGCTGGATGTCATCGCCATATGAAATTACTTTTCTAGGGTAAAAGCCGGTCCTCACCCCGTAATCAGATGGTTCAAAGATGGCAAAGAGCTAAAACCTGAAGATGGAATCCACATGGAATCCCTTCCAGATGGCACCGAACGGGTTTGATCTTTCTTCGGCTTTACACTTCACGCTTTTGTTCCTGAGCTATTGATGGATTTTCCAGTTGACTATCGATAAGACCAAGATCGCCGACCAGGGCAACTACCGAGTTGAGGTAACGAATGCTGCAGGCTCCATGAGCAGCAAAGCTCCGCTTTCTGTCCAAGGTAGGAGCTGTGTACTCAGAGTATTCGAACTTTTTCTGCATGACCATGACTAAGCTGGAAGGGTTCGCAGTTGATTTCCAAAATCTCGAATAGTCCCTATCCAATTATTCGGGATTGGAACTTGGTTCAGCCCAAGAGGTCCACTCGTCGTATGCGGTAAAGTAAAAAAGATCGAGTGGCTATTTCAGCACCGGAGACCCTGAAAATCAAGCGGCCACTACAAGACGTTACTGTCGACAGAGGCACCAAGATCCTCCTGTCAGTTGAGGTCGAAGGACGGCCGAAGACGGTGAAGTGGTACAAGGGATCAGAGCAAATCACCACGACTCGGTTTGTGAATTTTTTAATTATCTTCCTGAGAACCCCACATAGAGCGGTTGTTACAGGACGACGAAAACCGAGCGCATTTCTGATCACGAGTATAAACTCGAGATTGAAAGTTGCGAAATTTCTGACGCTGGTGCATACCGCGTTGTGTTGTCGACAGAAAGCGAATCGGTAGAGTCCAGCTGCACTGTGACCGTGAAAGAAAAAGCGGCTAAGGTACTATCCAAAGACTTTTCTACTAATTTGTTACAAGTCCTTTCTGTGCAACTGATCATCTGTTTCAGGTACAACTGCCTTCGTTCAAGAAAGGACTCAACAACCAAGAAGTACCAAAGGTTCGCAGTCTTCCCGTGACGCATGACCCTCTCTAACAACTTATCTGTAGGGTTTTCAAATTTCAGGGACAGACTCTTGTGCTGGAAGTTGAAATCGAAGGAACACCGAAGGTTGTGAAATGGTACAAAGCCGGTAACGAATTGAAGGATGCCAAAACTGAAGATCTTGGAAATGGAAAGTTCCGGCTAACTGTTCCTGATGTAAGTTAACTACTTAGCACATGATACTGAATTTTATTATCGAACGCTCGAATCTACTTTGAATTNTTCGACAGGTGGTTGCAATAGCTTTAAATCAGAACTTGAGCGGAGCTCAGTACTAGTACATATAAATTAGTTTAATAAGAAACAAACTGAAAATCTTACGTGAAAAGGGAAATGATCGGAGCTGTGGTTCATTCCGTACGTCGTTACGGTGGCACCCTAACTCTTTCTAGGACCACTTCCCTTTACACCCTCGCAGGGTGCTTAGGGGAATGCTCATCTACATTTACTTAAAAGCAGCAAGCCTCGTTCCAGAATCATGAATAAATCGTGGCTATCTTCTGCAGATGCCTCTTCTTTCAGTATCAATAATTGACCGTTTTCAGTTCAAAGAGTCGGACGTCGGCGACTACAGCGTGACGGCTGAGAATGAAGTTGGAGAAGTGGAGAGCAAAGCCAAGGTGAGCAGTCGACTGCAGCTTCGATATTTCTAGAGAAAAATTTTCAATTTATATGAGAAAAGGGGGTGATAATTTTTAAAAAACTCATCTTTTTTTCTAGTTCAGCAGTAATGGTCCCCAGAAAGGAATAACTTCTTCCTTGAAATGCATACTCACCGAAAAAAGGGCCTTTGTCATATTTGCTTTCCCGTTTTGATCGTTTTCATTTAGATAACCGTCCAAGCAGCACCAGATGACGGTAAGGACAAAGTGAAGCCAGAGATTGTCTCTGGACTTATTCCGACCTCAGTGAAAGAGGGTGAAACAGCTACGTTCACAGTGAAAGTGAAAGGTCCCGTCAAAAGTGTTAAATGGTCAGTGGCCATCTTTTCAGGATTCATTTGCTAGTACTGAACAATCCTTTTTCTAGGTACAAAAATGGAAAAGAGATTCCTGACGCGAAAACCAAGGACAAAGGAGACGGTACCTTTGAGCTCTCCATTCCCGATGCAAAGAAAGACGACGCGGCTGATTACAAGGTTAGCTCAGCATGATTATTACGAAGACCTCTTTCTGAGAGCTCTTTAATCAGGAGTCCTGTGAGGGTATTCATTCATTCATTGGTTCGAATGAGTGTTTGAAATCACCATCAGAACAGTCCCTGATTCAGGTTGTTGTGTCGAACGATGCCGGCCAAGTGGAATCAGCGGCAGCATTGACAGTGAAGCTACCACAGATTGAAATCGTTAAAGGACTTGAAGACATTACCGTACCGAGGAAAGAGACTGGCGTGCTTGAGATTGAAACTAGCCGACCACCAAAGCAAGTCAAGTGGTACGTTCTTGAGGATTGTCACACCAAGAGCTTGGAGGGAGGAATAACCTTCCAAGAACTTTATTGTTATGTTTCCCTATTAGGTATAAGAATGGAAAGGAAATCGCCCCGTCGGACAAAGCCCAGCCGAAAAAGGTTGCCGACAACAAATACCAACTGGTTATTCCCGATGCCGGAAAGGATGATACGGCTGACTACAAGGTACTGATCCTCCCAGTTCTCCAGTAGAAGCCGAATGGTTATGGAAAGAACGAAAAATAATTTTCAGGTCGTACTCACCGACGATGATGGCAATACAGCCGAGTCTGGTTGCGCTCTTACTGTGAAACTTCCTGGTGCCATTGAGATCGTCAAAGGTCTTGAGGACACTACCGTACCCAGGAAAGAGACCGGCACTCTGGAAATTGAAACCAGCCGACCACCGAAGCAGGTCAAATGGTAGGCTTGGCTGGTTACCTGTTATAGTTAATATATTTTTCAAGGCTGCTTACTAAGTGGAAATTTCAATTTATGAAGGCTCTGGGTGATTTAATTTGATTAGTTCATCCCATACTCAGGTACAAGAACGGCAAGGAAATCTCCCCATCTGATAAGGCCCAACCGAAAAAGGTTGCCGAGAACAAGTACCAGCTGGTTATCCCCAATGCCGGAAAGGATGACTCGGCTGACTACAAGGTATAGTTCTACCAGTTTCTCGGTGGTTGTTTAAATGAGAAATGATGTTCAGGTTGTACTCACCGACGAGGACGGCAATACCGCCGAGTCTAGCTGCGCTCTCACGGTCAAGCTTCCAGAAGCTATTAAGATCGTCAAAGGGCTTGAGGATACCACCATACCTCAGAAGCAGACCGGAGTACTTGAAATCGAAACTAGTCGACCACCCAAGCAGGTCAAATGGTACGGCGTTAATTGTTCATATTTCAGTCTACAGAGCCATGTCGGTGACTTTGGCCATTTTCTGAGGCCACTCATTTGCCTTTTTGATATTCAGGTACAAAAACGGCAAGGAGATCACACCATCTGACAAGGTACAACCGAAGAAGGTTGCTGACAATAAGTACCAACTGGTCATTCCAAATGCTGCCAAGGAAGATACTGCCGACTACAAGGTACGAGTTTTACCCACTCGGAATCCCATCCCCCCTCTTCTTTAGACAAACTGTATGAACTCCATCATGTCCCTTTATGCCACTGGAATACTTCCAAAGCAGTAATACAGTCATGAAGGCGAATTGGTCCGTAAGAATCCACTTGTCTACGCAGATTACACCTGGAGTTTTACTAAAGAAAAAGTCCCCCTCCTACAGGTCCTAATCGTTTTCGGTACGTTTTGGGCAGTTGTCACCCGGCCATTCCAGCTGATCTATCGAAGGGAGACTCCTTTTAGGTCTTTCCAACAGTTCCTTCCCACTGTATTACGCAGATTCTCATATTGATCGCCATTTGAGTGAGTTTAGGAAAGAAACCATTTACAGGTTGTGCTAACTGATGATGACGACAACACGGCTGAATCCAGTTGTGCACTCACCGTTAAACTACCGGCCATTGAGATCGTTAAAGGTCTTGAAGACACGACTGTACCAAGTGGAAAGAAGGCCGTACTTGAAGTGGAAACAAGCAAGCCACCAAAACAAGTCAAATGGTAGGAGAATTCTGAATTAACCATAGAACCTCACACGTCCAAAAATATGTTTGCTCCTGAATTAATATACATTATCTGAAGAAATTCTTTTTTCATTTTTATACTAGCAGGTTATCAGGAAGTTTAATCTTTTTATCTTGAGAGATTATCACGAATTGTAATCAAAAAGCGATCTAGCCCTCTAAAAAGGAAATCGGCAATGGCTTTTAGCTGAAATGTCATTTTACAGGTATAAGAATGGAAAAGAGCTTGCACCATCCGATAAGCCAGAAATGAAGAAGGTGAACGATACCAAACACCAGCTGGTCATTCCAGATGCCAGTGAAGAAGACACTGCTGACTACAAAGTAAGGCGTTTTCCTTGTTCCTTGTTCTCCCTCAATCAGAAAGTCAGTGCCCTCCTGAAAAGGATGCCTATGAGTTTTGAAGGCAACATTTTGAGAAATGCAATTAAACAAACAAACATTACAGAGCTGACAACAGGTACCACAAAGTAGGAAGTCATAATGATGGGCACATTATTCATTGACGTTATTCAGACTCGAGAGTAGAAGTGAAAATACCCAAGGCAATGGGGCTATGGTCCTGGGTCGAGAGACGGTCAGGGTGCAGTTTGCTTCAAGAAATTTGGCGAACCTAGCAATCAGGTTGTGGGCTTGGGCAGCCATTTTCGAAAGCAAAATCGTATCCGAAAAAAGGACTACTGACAGTCCAAAGTTGAAGTTATCGAAATTGCGGTTTACGGTAAGATAATGGGATTTTCTTTGCGTTGATTTTTGATAAAGCGCGTAATTATGTGTAGGTCACTATTCCCCAAGGGTTCCCAATGAAGTCATAGCAATTATCCTCGGTGATCACTTCCATTCTACTAGTAATCTTCCCTAAACCCTTCCTGGAACCTTTTCTTGGAGATCATCTGGGCGGTCTTATATGTGGCGATTCTTTTTCAGGTCATACTCACTGATGATGATGACAACACAGCCGATTCGTCATGTGCGCTTACCGTACGGCTTCCGGACAAGGAACCGAAGATCATTAAAGGACTCGGTGATCGTACCGTACCAGTCGGTCTACCGACCATATGGGAAGTGGAGGTGAGGATTTTTTGACTGCTTCTCTTCGCCATTCCTGAGTCGCTTCGTTGAATCGCGGTGGTTTTGTTATGGAAAGTACTTTATCCGATATAAATCCCCTGCAGACCGAGGGATCCCCTCGAACCGTCAAATGGTACAAGAATGGCAAAGAATTGGCCGGTGCAGCTGCGGCAATGGTGAAAATTTCAAAGATCGACGACAATCATTATGTACTTGAGGTATGTGAAGGGGCGGAGCTCCCCACATATTACATTTTCCGGCATTAACAAATTGGTACTGTTTAGATTCCCAAATGTGCTGTTGGTGATACTGGTGACTACAAAATCGAAGTAGAAAATGATGCTGGCAAAGCGAACAGCACGGGCAAGCTGACTGTAGAACCACAGCTGACCTTCCTNAAAGAATTGGCCGGTGCAGCTGCGGCAATGGTGAAAATTTCAAAGATCGACGACAATCATTATGTACTTGAGGTATGTGAAGGGGGCGGAGCTCCCCACATATTACATTTTCCGGCATTAACAAATTGGTACTGTTTAGATTCCCAAATGTGCTGTTGGTGATACTGGTGACTACAAAATCGAAGTAGAAAATGATGCTGGCAAAGCGAACAGCACGGGCAAGCTGACTGTAGAACCACAGCTGACCTTCCTCAAGCCACTCAAAGACCTAGAGATCACCGAAGGCGAAAACGCTGAATTCCAAGTGGAAACAAACGCCAAACCGAGAGAAGTCAAGTGGTACGTTTGCTTCCCATCTAGGCTGCACTAAGTTGAAACCATGCCTCCCGCATTTCAGACAGATTACTTCGGAAGCTCTACTTTTGCCTTCTCTGTCTTCTTTTTACCTCAGCGAAGTTCATTAGCATCGATTTCAGGTACAAAAACGGCCAGGAAATCGCCCCAGATGCCCGGTTCGTCATCACCGGTGAAGAGACCAAGTATAAACTGGTTATCAAAAACGCAACCAGAACAGATGCCGCTGAGTACAAGGTCAGCTTACGAGGGTTACTTTTTCAATGACAAAAATTACCTCTTATTGTTACAGTATATTATTTTTATAGGTATACTCTGTTTTCTTACCCTTTAAAAATTTTAATATTACCTAATTTTTTGTGTCAGTGCTTTGAAAAGTTTATAACGAGCCTTTAGGTTGTACTTACCAACTCAGCTGGTGATGCCAATTCGTCAGCGAAACTCACCGTCAAGAAGGCCAAACCAGGAGTTCCGAAGATCATTAAGGGTCTCGAAGATCAGGTAAACAGCTGAGTATGGCCCTTGGAAAAGTTCTAGGAAATTAACCAGTCATAGCTCCGGGGTGTGGGGCCCGTGGGTTTCTATCGTTTCGTTGCAATTTACAAATTTCTTAGAGAAACGATATAATAGAAGCGTCCTTGGTCGGGAGGGAGCACTCAACATTTTTGGCATTGAGGGGGGTGGGAAGGGGGAATGTTCAGGAAGGACCCATCGATCCTCGGTCCCTTTTCATGGGGCGTTTTTTAAATCATTTATCTCCGGGGGAAATTGGGAACTGCTTGTCCGCAATATCCAATTCTTCAATATTTTCCATATTTTCATCCATTTTGACATTTCCCCAGGACTATCGTCGATTTTTTTTTAGGTAGTGGCAAAAGGTGCTTCATTGGTGTTCGAAGTTAAAGTTGAAGGTGAAGTGGACGAGGTACGTTGGAGCAAAGACGCCACACCCATCACAGTCGGAACTCGTGCCACCATTGAGAAAATAAACGGCAACACGTCAGTGAAATTTATTTATTTGTACATGATAGAGCCTATATAACAAAATTAAGAGCTCATTTTTGTAATTTTATTGAACCAGAAATCGAAGGTAGTCATTCAGGATGAGAGATGTACATGCTGGATTCTTCATGGAATAGCTTAGTTTTTGTGTCTCAAAAGTTTTTTTCAGTTACCGGTTGACAATTCCTAATGCAGACCTGGACCATGCTGGACATTACTCTGTTGAAGCGATCAACGAATCTGGGAAGGTCCGTAGTCGTACGGGATTCTCACCCCGTGGTCTTAGATCGGATACCTAGACAGTTTTGGCTTTTAGGCTTCGTCCGATGCCAAAGGAGAAGTGGATGAGAAGCCAGAAATCGCAAAAGGACTTAATGACATGGAAATCTCTGAAGGTGACGACGAAGTGTTCAAGGTGGAGGTGACGGCACCTGTCAGGACAGTGAAGTGGTACGTGTCGTCCCCTATTAGATTGGGCCCAGATGGGATTCCGGTGGACTTAATGGGAGGTTAAATCAACGGTTTCAGGTACAAGAATGGTCAGGAGATCAAGCCATCGGTACATTTCGAACCGAAAAAGATTGGGCCGAAGAAATACGAGCTTGCCATCAACAGAGCTGAGCTTGACGATGGCGCAACTTATAAGGCAACTATCGGCGTAGTAATTTCCCTCGGTTATTACTAGTAACTGATTACTGTTTAGGTTGTACTTTCGAACAGCGCTGGAGAATGCGATTCATCAGCTCAACTGACAGTCACTAAGCCGAATATCCTAAAGATGCTACAAGGACTCAAAGATATTGACGTCGAAGAGGGTCAGCCAATCGAATTGAAGGTGATTCCTCAGCCTATTTTGAGTTGTTTTGGGTCAATGTTGAGTTGATTAGCATCCAGAATTCTCGAAATTCCAGGTGAAAGTCGAAGGAACACCGAAAACTGTCAAATGGTACAAAAATGGTGTGGAGCTAGCACCAACGGATGCTCAAATGGTGTGTAATGACGCTCTGACTTTTGATGATCACTGGCTAGATCGATGATTGATTTTTCTTATAAGCTGAGTTACAGAACGAAAATCCCGAAACTGGAGAGTATTCATTGGTCATTCCGCAATCGAAGAAGAGTGATGGTGCTGCCTACCGTATCAGCCTGGCTAATGACAGGGGCGAGATCTACAGTGGTGCAGTGGCCCACGTCAAGGTGAGAGTGGGCAAATGTGATTTTCCAACTGAAAAAACCCTTTTGATGATTCGATCGATATCGATCTTCCTCCAATTATAGTCAAACGAATGTACAGCAATATGACCAACAAGTTTTTTTTACCTTGCAGACGGCGAAAGCCAAGGAGCTGGCTGTACCGGCAAACTTCCTCTCACCATTGGAAGATACCGAAGTTGTCGAAGGAGAAACACTCACCCTGAAATGCGTTGTAGCCGGTGAACCATTCCCAACCCTTACCTGGTGGGTGTAAAAGTTCTGTAAAATCTGTTCGACTGGAGAGAAAAATGATTGATTTCTGAGTCCTCTCCTTCGTTACAGGACCAAAGACGGAGTGGAATTGGAGAAAGACGATCGTGTTACGATGCGTGTCGCTCTTGATGGAACGGCCACGCTACGTATACGTGATGCACGAAAATCAGATTTTGGACAGTACCGTATCACTGCAAAGAACGAAAGTGGAACAGAGTCCAGCGCTTGTCAAGTACGCCCTTGAAGTCCTTTATCAAAATTCATGAAGCCAAAGAACTGGCCAAGGGTGTACCGGGTATCGGTTAAAACTCTCATATCTTTAGGTTACCGTCAAGGACAAAGGTGAAGAACCATCCAAGCCACGTTTCATCATTCCACTCAAATCATGCGAAGCCGAAATTGGCCAGAAGAAGGAGTTCGAGGTGAAACTGCGAGGTTATCCCAAGCCTACTCTTGAATGGTAAGTACTTCTCTGCATTAGGCGATGAACTAGAATGACACGGATTGGAGTTCATTCCCATGGGAATAACTTTCATCGTGTCTTAATGAAGGATTGGGGATTATGCTAGAAAATCAGTAGGATTCCCTGTGTCGAGGACTGGTTTTTCACCATTTGGGGAGGTTCCCTTCGTTTTCAAATCTCGTTTTCAAAGTGACCATCTTAAGGCTGTTGAACGAGGAAACAATGAGGTTCGATGAGCGTGTCACTGTCGAAGAACTCGGCGCTGGAAATTACTGCCTTACTATCAAGGAGGTGAGTTATTTTTGTACACACTCATGGTTATAGTGACCATATCACCAGCTGATCTTAGGTATCTTCTCATCCATAATAAGTTTCACTACTTCAGATCCGTGAATCCGACTTTGGTACGATACGTTGCATTGCCACAAACGAACATGGCAAAGACCAGTGCCAGGCTGAATTTGACCAGTTCGGTGAGTTGTTACAGCTGAAGGCTCACCTTTCGTGAGGATTTCCTTTTTCGGGAATTTTTCTGGCTGGAGAACTCTGTTCCTTAGAACGATAAGAAAGGGAGTGAAAGAGCAGAGAACCCTAAATCAGCATGCCCTGGATGGAGGTGCAAAAAGAACTTCTAGAAAAAAGCTGGCTGCGAGTATATGACTTTCAAATGTGTTGTGTCATCACAAAAGCTTTACGAATTATGCTTGCTACACCTTTCTTTTGGGGAAATATGTCATAAGCAGCCCTGGGATAGCTAGGTTATTGTAAAAGCTATTGTACTTGGTAGAGTTACTCTAAATGGTAAGATTGCCCTAGAGAACGCTAAAATTGTCTAGGTCCTCGTGTTGGTCGCGAAAAAGAGGATGACCGCTATCCGCCTCGATTCAACGTTCCCCTATGGGATAGACGCATCCCGATCAACGATCCTCTTGCCATCGAGTGTCATGTGGATGCGAAACCAACGGCTGAAATCGAGTGGTTCAAAGACGGTAAGTGATGGCACAAGGTCACACCGCAGCTGTCGGTGGCCTGATATTGAAGAGTACTTCTTACAGGCGTTAAGTTGGAAATTAGAGAAGGCGTTGAAATTCGTAATACCTCGGATGGAGCCTGTCGGGTACGAATCGCAAGGTTCGGGAAAGAAGACGTCGGTGTGTACATGTGTGTGGCGAAGAACCCCCTCGGTGTTGCTGACACGAGGTCGACATATTCCGTTGAGGGTAAGTTATGTATGAGACGTTTATCAAACTATATACCCCACTAGATCGAAATTATTTACATGGGAACTTCGAATCCTGGTAAATCTGGCTCGTTCCTGAATGGGGGTTCGTTTGGGGCGGCCGCCCAGAAGATTCTCCTAAAACATCTCAAAAACTTTGGGTGTTTTTGGAATTTCTTATTCCCGAAGATGATCGTGTCTGGGAAGCCTTCGATGAGCCAGCTAACCGGCAAGATTTCGTTTTTGAGCTAAATCAGATCAGGAGCACTATCTCCTCATTCTTGGCAATCACTCAAGTTGGTGGTCCTCTCATTTGCAGCAAGTTTTTCAGTGATGGAGATGGAGGAACATGTTGAGAAGAGGGAGTACGCCCCACGTTTCAACCCGGGGCTTGAAGACAAGACTGTAAACCTCGGACAGAACGTTCGACTCTCCTGTACTGTCGATGCGATTCCAAAAGCAAGCGTAAGTTTTCGATACTAACCATCTAGAATTTCTTTCGATCTTTGATATGGTACAAAACAATCACTTGATTCAGCTTATCTGGTACAAAGACGGTCTACCTCTGCGATCTGGTGGCCGTTTCACGATCACAACAGAAGAGGATGGTACTTGCTCGTTGGAAATAAGTCAAACAGTTGCAGGTCCTTCCTAGCTACTCTTTTTCAACAATAGTATCGTTTTGTTATTTTAATCACTTCAGGTGACGAAGGTGCTTACCGGTGTGTGGCCTCAAACGAACACGGAACTATCAACACTGGATGCTTGGTCACCGTGAAGGTGCCCAAAGCTGAAGTCAGTTTTAAAAAGCTTTCAACTTGCGATAGGATTCGGCTGGTTTGGGTGGTCCAAAATCCCGAGAATCTCCCCTACCATCCGATTTCACTCGGGGCTCAAGGCTGAAATTAAACTCGGGGTGAAGTTGACTCGAATCCTAGGGTGGATCAAAGTCCGACCAACCGATCGATCGACGGCGTTTCTGGCCACGTGTTGACAACGCTACACACCGATGCGTACCGCTCATGCGGCCCTAGACTAATCTGTCCTGCGTTGTCAACAAGTGGCCAGCAACGCCATCAGTCGGGTGGTCGGTTTGTAAGTGAGACAATGCACTTCGTTAGGCTTTAACCCACTTTGGGAGTTTAATGGCCCGTCAGGTTTATTTGGTTAACCAGCGTCATGACCCAGAACCACATATTGTTGGATAGTGACATCCCTAGCTCACTTTTATCCCATTTTTATTTTAGGCAAAGAAAGAAGGTGAAGAGCCGTTCTTCACGAAAGGACTTGTCGACATTTGGACTGATCGCGGTGAATCGTTCACGTTGAAATGCGCCGTAAAAGGCGATCCGTTCCCAGAGATCAAGTGGTGAGCTCGGAATTCTGTATGCGATATCCATCAAAGTTTTTTTTGTAATCGTAATTATTTTTATTAATTTTCATCATCATCTCCGTCATCATCAGCTAGTAATCACTACTTGGCTGAAGTTATGACATTGGCTGATTTGTACAGGTACCGCAACGGAATCTTGGTTCGTGACTCGCAGAGGACAACAATCGAAACGTCTGCGGATGGCACCTGTTCGTTGACGGTAAAGGAATGCACGATGAGCGACGAGGGCATCTACAGATGCGAAGCCGAAAACAAGCACGGAAAAGCAAAAACTCAGGCCACGGCCCATGTGCAGGGTAAGTCGTCGAGTTATCGTAGTCCCATCCATAGTTGTCCACTGAGTACAACCATTTCAGTATCGCTTGGCAAAGGCGATATGCCCAAACTCGAAATGGGATCACCTCCAAGATTTATCATTCCTCTGGAAGACCAAACAGTTCTTGTGGGCGGTGTTATCGATCTTGAATGTAAAGTCACTGGAGAACCGATGCCACAAGTGAAATGGTCCAGAGATGGTGGCCCAATATGGGAAGATTCGCGTTACGAATGGGATATCGATGAAGCTAAGGTGGGTTGATATTTCAATATGGTCATGTTCAGAGGGAACTTTAGGAACTTGTAGACGCCTTGAAATCTTTTTTAATTGTTGTGGCTTCCAGGGAATCTACCATCTTCGAATACAGTCGGCTACAGTGAACGATGAAGGAACCTACCGATGTGTTGCGACCAATGAGTCTGGCTCCGCAACGACCAAATCCTTTACTCGCATTGATGGTAAGTAACTGGTTCTCTAAAGAGATTTGGACAAATCAAAGCATTCCAAAGTGGGAGAAGGATTCCATTCACTCCCTTAAGTTTTTCATCCATCAGGAATTTTCTCAAGGCCACTTCTGTCACAGCATCGTGGAGCCAACCCTGACAGATTTCTAGGAAAACTTAGATCCAGGGTTTACTGTGCAGCAACTGTAGAAATAGCTCATCATCATTTGTAATAGCTGAAAGATTAGAAAATATTTAATTTTGATGAAGTAATATTTCCACATTCATGTCGAATTTCTTGGAAAAATCCGCTGCCGGCTGTTCCTCGTCGTCATAGCCCTCATTTGCAGACGGTTTCTCCATGCAAATCCCATCGAAGAGTATCCCACCACGATTTACTATCCGCCTCGGCGATGCCCGTGCCGTAGAAGGACAACCACTACGACTCGAATGTAAAGTAGAAGGATCACCATTGCCCGAACTCACTTGGAACAAGGATGGAGTTCAGGTATGTTGCCCGCTCCCCTCATGTTCTACGGCGCCACTAACTTTTCCCGGTTGCAGATCCATCCTTCGGATCGGGTGCAGCTCAGTATGGATGCAGATGGTGTCGCTCGTCTTGTCATTCCACAATGTTGCATGGACGATGAAGGTAGGGTAAAGTTCTAAATATCGCTCAAAGGAGATGAGCTGCTCCTCAGAGCAGAGCCTACTTTGTATATACTCCCAATCTGCTTTACGTCTTCAGGTATTTACCGAGTCATCGCCACCAACCCTTCGGGTACTGCCCACGACAAGGGTAACGCTATCATCAAGAGAGCTCCTCGTGACCGAGAACGTTCTGCTGAACGCGATCAATTCGATGCCAACAAAGTCCCGAAGGTTGTCGAGCCCCTCGAAAACGTCAAGGTGGGGAAAGCTCATGGGCATTGCGTTGATTGCTTCTGAAAGTCTGTCCCACTCCAGATCCCCGAAAAGCAAGGATTCCGACTCCGTTGTAAATTCAGTGGTGAACCAAAATTGTCTATCAAATGGTTCAAGGATGGTGAACGGGTATTCCCCTATGGAAGGCTCAAGCTAGTATGTCATGTTCCCGTATCAAACTTAATAACAACTCGTTATTAAAAATTATTTTCAATTTTTTTAGCTGGAATCACCCGATGGAGTATGCGAGTTGATTGTCGAATCGTCGATCCGGCAAGACGCCGGTGGATACAGATGTGTCGCGGAAAATGCCTATGGATCTGCCAGGACGACCTGTGAAGTTACCGTAATCCGTAAGTGGGCTTAGTAACATCAGAAAAGTTAAAGCCTCTTTCTTCTCCACCATGCTGGATGAACCCTCGATAGCTAAACGATTTTATCCAGATTCTTTCTGGTAGTACCGGTAGGGCTCATTAGGGCTAACGGTACCTTTGGATGGAATTATCAACTATCGCTTATTGTACCTACTTGTTATTTACTTATTATGATGCTAATTGTTAATGTTTTTATTTATTCAATTATTTTGTTTATCGAGTATTAATCGATAGACACATAAGTCAATTCAACATCTCACTTATCAAAGAAAATGCTCCCTCACAATTTTTTAGGTTTTTCCGAGTTGAAGGGTGCGTTTATTGTTTGCGAGTAGAATTTTTGTATATTGATTCAATAGATTTTTTTGTTTACTTTAGATCCACAATTTTGGTGTATGTATATTTTGTGTGATTAGAAGTCTTTCATAGAAAGGCTCAGAGCTCAATTTTGGGTTTATACTTTTGTTTACTAATTGGTTGTATTATCTTGGGTCGTAAATCGATATCGATTCAGAGAAAGAACGTAAACCAATTACGGACTTCGATGCTACGCTCAAAGAAGGAAAAGCTCCCGGATTCACTGTTCCACTCACAATTCGACGAGCAAAACCAGGAGCTAACGTCACATTCGAATGCGTTCCCTACGGAAATCCATTCCCGCAGATCCGATGGCTTAAGGTTAGTACAACGTGTTGTTCAAACTTACTTTGAAGAGGAGTCAGTCCATAATGGGAAATGGCCTTTTCGGAACAGCACGTGGAACTTCCTCCAAAAAGCTATCCTTTTCCTTATCACTAGTCCCATTCCCACCTGTCTATGAAGCTTCCGAAAACCAATGGCTCTCTAAGGGAAGGGGTGACTAGCGATCCTCGTACTACCCATTCTTTCATGGGTCCTACCCTTTCATTTTTTGCTTATGCGATAGACTTAACAGAATTTGCCATGTGGCATACACCAATTCTCCTTGAGAGACTTGTAATAAGTATGAAAAGCCGGAATAGAGTATGATAACTCAGATGCTTCGCTTTCAGGACGGTATTGAAATAACTGAATCGAACAAGATCAGATTCGAAGCACTGGAAGACGGAACCCAGCGTCTCCATTTGACCGAAGTGGACTTCTTCAGTGAAGGATACTTCCGTTGTGTTGCTACTAACGAACATGGTACTGCTTCGACAAAAGCTGAGCTTGTCATCGACGGTACGTAAGTTCGAGTTGTATGGAAAAATGGCAAGTAAAGGGCCTGTAATGATGGGCAGAGTGGAGCTGGAAAGCCATTGAACAAAAATGGGTAAAAGGGTGCCTATAGAGATGGAAAGAGTGGTGCTGGGAAGGCAAACTAGTAATGCGTTGAATGCCCCCAACAGACTGATATGGGAAGTGGTGAAAAGTGAGAAGTTAAGCTCTCTCGTCAAAAATGTCTTCTTTATGAGCAAAAGTATCCGGTTGTATGAGTTGGAAAGATGCCAGAATTCTTCTTTAGCTATAGCTAATCTTTCATTCATTTTTGAGAGGGATTCTTTGATGGAACCCAAAAAAGCGATAGGTTCTATGAGAAGTTCTCTTCTTTTTTTGAAATCCTTATGTTTTCTGTAGTGTTTCGGGATAATTAGAATATTTATCACTAATCTGCTAGAGAAAAACGAGATCGTTGAAGAAGAGAACCAAAATGGCAATTATTGATGCTTTCTCCCTATGGCAAGCTAAGGCTTCATCTTGCAAACAGCCACCGCATTGAACTGTGACAGTATCCGATCAGCATAGTGATTGATCCATTTCCCACGTCGATTCATTACCTAAACTACCAGTTATATGCGAAGGTCTGAATGGCATACACCCAAAATCGCTCACCAAAACAGCTAGAGCTCGTCGACCAAATGGCATTCCACGATCCCAATTCTGATAGGTGAAAGGCGTTCCTGTAATGGGTATGCAACTGATTTAACAGGGCAAAAGCTATTCAAAAAATACCGTACCATCCATCCATTGCCATTTATGGCCATTATTTGAACGACCGAAAGCTCCCAGCATCACAAAGTCAAAATTTGGGTTCTTTTCGCGAGCAAGATCTGAAAATTCCGAATGTGGGGCTGCTCTTAGGAATCCTTGGAATCAATCGATATATCGACTCGGTAACGAAGATGAACGACCGACCTTTGATAAATTGGTTCTCTAATTCGTCTCCTATACTGGCGAGCATGGCATCATGATTGCTTTCAGCGCCTGAACATCGAATCTACTTCCGGACTAAGCTGGATTTTAACAAATCTCCCCTACCTAGCTGGAAACAGCGGTTGTCCGCATCCAGTATGGTCATATTGGTACGGGTTATCGCCCGATAACATGATTGGGTAGCGTCCATGTACATCCAATGTTTTGGACAGTACCGTACGACCGGACGGTGCAGTCGTTTCTCACAGATTACGGTAGCCGGTTCATCACAGGCTGCATTTTGCCATTCTCCGGTTGTCGACCGTAGATGTACGCATTTGCTCATGCGGTCGATCAGCTCGGCACCATTCCCGTTAGCCCAATTGGTGAATCGAACGATTTTTCCTGAACATGCAGCTATCATTACGAACTTGAGCTGTCCCGACCGGTTTCCCCCAACCATTAGGCCACCGCAGCACAAATCCGGGAGAGAACAGTCCTGCAGCACCATCGATGATGTCGAATCGTGCTCTTGCATCGATCCAAGCAGCCGAATTTGGCTTCATTAAATCTGTAAATGTTACGATAATGCATTTTGTTTCCCTATAATGCTCTTTGGACTCCACATGACTTTTTGGCTGGATAGTTTCTCAATTACAATCGCTTGTCGGGGTTGCTCATGGGCTAAACAAGAGGTATTCGACTACCATTATTTGGGGTTGCATTTAGGGTTCAGGAGTTCTTCGAGCTCAGAACATCCCAAGAGAACAGTTCCCTCTTCGTGAACAATGAAATCAAAGTACAAACTTACTGCTTACAAAATTGTTCTCTGATTCGCATTGAACCCGCAATAGATGGGACGAGTTTGAGAGCCTGAAAAACTAATCCATTCAAGAGCCGCTCATAGTTAAGCAAATGGTTCGTTGCGATGCTCAAAAGTAAAATCCAAGTAAATAACAAAATTATTGATCAGATGTAATCAGGGATTATCGATACTAGAAAAGAGGTCTTTTGTCTTGAGGTCAGTTCAAACGAGGTAACCTTGGGCCCATGACTTAACGATAGCATGGGCTAATTCACACTTCCAGGAGAGGTCCCTACGATAAAGGAACCCCATGGCATGGCACACTGTCTTATAGATTCACTGTCCCATGACTTTTCTTATTTAGCTTCTAACAGGATATATATTGGGGTGCTCGGGAAGTAACTCCCAGAATTTTCATAAAAACCCAGATTTCTCTTGGAATATTCCAGAGGTTTTACCAGAAATGCTCTAACATTACAATTTTCACTTTTTTTCACATAGTATATCCGGAAATTCCTCTATATCGATGTAGACCACATCGAGGCCCATCTTCGTCCTTCACGATTCCAGTTTTGAAGCGTTGAAAACAAGTTTGCTAAAAACCCCTCAGAAATGATTGTAGGGGCTCCATGAGCTGGCCTCCAGCAGCGGAACGGTTAGCTTTGAAAATTTGTTTCTGGACTGGTACGAAATTTCCGGCAGATCCTTTCGTGCTTCCTATTAGTTAAGTGGGGGAGAACCAGAAAAAGGATGAACGTAAAAACATCGATCGAAACTCACTTTTGGCAGTAAAGATGAGCATCGTGATGTGTCATTTTCAATCGTGAAACATAATAACACATTTTCCCCTTGGGATCGTGTTTCCATCGTGGAGGACATGTAGAATCAGTGAATACTGTACGATATATAGTGATAGTGAAGACGAGAAAGAATGTAGCAGAGATCATGCTCAATAGAATACCCAAAAGAACTGTGTGCCTTCAGACGTAGAATATCACCGTAGAACCATTGAAAGGTAAATTCACAACCTGAAAATCGCTAGACTACGGATATGAATTATTAACAAACGTTATGGCTACATCATTATGACGATGGGACTCGAAATAGGAACAAACTCGTCCAAAATAAAGATATTTGGGCTTCTGAAGCGAATTAGTGTGGAAATCTGTTCATGTTTTCAGGTGATCGTTCCGCTGCCACAAAATTCGTACCCGAAGAAGCGAAAGAACCCGAAGAGAGTAAGCCACGAATTCGACGTGGACTATACAACATGAGTATTCATCAGGTTAGTCGTTGCTGACGTCATTGCTGATAATTCGAGTATTCAATTCGGAAGGAAGGAAGGACGTAGTGCATCTGTCGGGCTTGGACAGCGAATGTCACGTGCATTCAGCGAAATTAACCGACGCGGATCCCAACTTTAGATCGCGGATTTCCACGCGACTGGGCGGCTGAGTGGGCAGAAAACGTATAATTCGGGTCAGTAGCGACTAATATCGTCAGAAGGGTTAATTTCATCGAACATGAACAAATTGAGGGGGCGGAGAGGTCCATTAGGGGATTTCGCGAGAAACTTCAGATATTGCCTCCTTTGAGAGTTACGAGAGCAACTAGGAAGGGTAGTTGGCTCGATAGTTGCCTACGGACACCGGGCAACGACTGTCGTCAAATTCTTGGTGCTCGTCCAATTTTTTATCAACCAGCTGGTTTGGGTGATAAAGAAGTTGGGCTGATTTGGACGCTATTCGATACGAATGTCGAGAAAGTACCTAGAATGGGAGGGATACCCGATTTCCCATATCGTCCTTTGAACAGCTGTCACACGTTCCGCTTCTGTTGAATGCATTCTGTTTTTTCTCCATTGTGCTGGCTGTTTCCGATGGCGGCATATCGAGAAACATCCCCGGGTGTTCCCTATTCCAGAAATCGCCAACCGATTTCGTTTTTCCAGAGCAACGAAGGTCTTTTCCCATTGGAACCCCACAGAAAGTCTTCTGGTGCTCAGTGATCGATAGCGCTGTTCTTTAAAAAGAACAGCGACACCTACAAAAAGTTCAAGCGCAGCTGGCGTCTGTAATTGCTCGATAAGCTTCTTAGTTGACAAAAAGCACTGCAGTCTTGCAACGACAATGGCTTCATCCCTTTTGTCGTAAATATAAAAATAAAAAGCAACACACACTCAAATAGTAAACTGGAAAGTCATAATGACCAGCACAAAGAAAGGGCTGGAAAAGAATGGTAGAAAATGGAAAGTAGAAAGAAAGTAAGTAAGAGAAAAAATAGGAAGGAAGGGAGACAAGAAGAATTCGAGCGAACAGTTACAACTTGGATGTTTTGATCGAAAGAATCGAGAAACGACAATCATAGCTGAGAACGTTGGCCGCTTTTCAAAGTGTCTCTCCCTCCCGCTCTGATGAACCCTATGCTTATCCTGTTAACCGCTTAGCCAGATACTTCAATTCTAGTAATGGTTCTTTCTTCTGGATGAGGCCTCTCCTGATCACACTGAAGCTAGCTCCCCGGGCAAGGTTTGGGAGAAATGACAGGATATTCTGGGGGCCTTCTGATCCGTTTACTTAGAAAAGTCTTGAAAGGAGCGCCTGAGATTCAACTTAAAATGGTGACTACTACTCAGGGGTGCCTCGCGACGACTAGACGCTTGCCCAGTCGTCCTCCCACTCTCTTATGCTTTTCAATGTTTGCGTCGCGGCTTAACCGCTGTCAACAAGCGTCCCAGACATTGCTAATTTTGCGGTTTTCTTTTTTGAAATTCGGAAAGCCGCCAAGAAAGGTGTTTTCACTTCGTGGAGGGCTCTCGAAGGTGGATATGTGCACGTTGTGCGTCCCGAAGAGAATTGAAGTTTGAGATACCTTTTCCCAAATCGAGTTCGACCCAAGCGAAAGGTTGCCTACGCTGTTTCCATTGAGAAGGTAGCGAAAATACTCAACGATAAATCGAGACGAGTATAGCAACGAGCAGCTCTGGAGCAGGCAACTTGGGAGGCTATCAGAGAAGGACTGGCACAGAATGAGCTTCTAAACACTCGAATTCTTCGATTGATCTTCAATGAAAAGAAAAGGGGGAGGGTAAGGGAGTCACGTGAGAGAAATCGGCTACTGAGGTAAGGTTTGTTTTGTAGAAGGGCTGAGCAGATGGGAATCAGACATCGAAAGAAATGTTGAATATTTGCGATGCGATGAGAGAGAATATAAACAAAAGAGATATGTTTAATGACGAACTAGTGCATGCTACTGTGTAAGAAATTAAGTAGAGAGTTTGTTCTGCAAGTAAACATCACAGGAATTCTTCCAATATTTCAATTTCTTGGCCTTTGCCTACAAGTCAGCACAAAGGTAAAGTTTCTGACTTGGAAAACGAATAGAACGAATAGGTGGTAGAAGTTACTATCGACAGAAACAGTGCCAGACTGGAGACAGGCCTCTCAGTTCAGATCTCACCCAGCATAATGGGAACCAGTAAAGGCACCACACTCTAGTGGCCCTTAACGAATGAGACTCTGCTTGATTTCGGTGCTGGTTTACAGGGTTTATAACTAGGCAATGAGTCAGCAAACAGGAAGAAAACCGGCCGGCGAAAAGAACTTGTATAGGCCATATGTACAAATCGGGCGGCAAATGTACTCTGAGGAGTCGATTGCGCAAGGAAAACGCTACCAATTTTCTGTTTTTCCTCCCACTCGACAGGTCCTTATACAGACTTGATTGTCTGACTCATGAGATTGTGGAGCAACTTTTGCAAGGACGTTTTCGTAGAATCACCACCGAAATCAAGCAGAACCTCCTTCTTTGAAGGTCTCTAGTGCGTGGTGCCCTTACTGGTTTACTATGCTGGGTAAAATCGCTTAAGGTCCGATCCGGCTCTCTAGAACGGAAAACATTCAGGACTTTGTCTGCCGAGTTATCAGGTTTCCCTCATTGTATGAGGCTGAACAGTTAATATAGTTCTTTGTGGTGCAACTAAGCTGATCCTTGTCGATATATTGAAG